TCTCACATCTTTCTCTTATACAGAGCTGGAAAGAGGTGGGCAGAAAAGGGAGGAGCCATCACTCCCCCTGGCTCTTCCCCCAGCTCTCAGGCCCTGGAGGCAGGCTGGCTGCAGTGGCAGCAGCTCCCTCCCCTTTCCTGGCTGGAATCCCAGACAGCTCCTTATCGGCTCCAGGAAGAAAGCGAGATCTGACACATGGGTAACATACATGCACTTGCATAAGTAGCAAGAAATCAAGCCAGGTGCTGGCAAAAGCACGGCAGGCCCAAGCCTGGTAGAATAAAAGCTGCTCTGTGAAAAACGAGGAGGCAGGGAGACGGGCTTGACTGCTGTCTCCTGCCTTTCTCCCTACTTATCCTGCGACTCACTGAAGCCAGAGCAGACAGAATTTACTGTTCTTCCCACAGACCTAACCGAAAGAGCAGGTTTTGGAAACTGAGGGCTGGAAGTGGGCTACAGCGCATCGATTTCCCAATGCCCTGGAAAGCAGCACCCTGCATACCTTTGTCAAAAGCACACGGGTTTGTCCCAAGGGAATACCCTAACCATGCTAATTTTCTCTCCCTAGTGGGAACAGCTGGCAGAGCTCCAGATATTTTTAAGACCCTTGGATCAAAGGCACAAGCATACCTCACACAAGCTGCCACAGGCTCCAGCTCAGCTGCGAGGCGGCTATTCCCAGCAACCCACCACTTCTCCGGAGCTCAGCACCTTTCTGCTCTGCTGACGTACAGATGCGCCTAACTTGCCTCTGGTCCTGTCAAAACGATCCAGTTAGCGAACACCCCAACTGGAAGAGCACAGAACCCACTGATCATGGGGGTGCTACGAAGGAAACACATCTCAACAGCTGGAGGGGAGGTTAAGCACACCCCTCCCTTCCCGCTTTGCTTGTTGAAATTAAGCCACTGGCTACCAGAGCAAGTCTGTTGGCAGCAGATATGGTTTGTTAGCTCCCACCATTCAACCTGAATCCACTTACCCAATTCAGCTGAAATTTCAGATCAATTAACAATTTTTTTTTGGCAGTAACCTCCAGCAGGAAAACAGGGACCTTCTGAAGTGGCTCTGCCGCTGCTGTGGAAGTCCTGTGGGACCACAGTACAGGACTGCAGCGTCCCTTCAGCAGTGTCTCTTCTTGACGAACGTTAGAGCTGTGTCAGAAATCAAACGTGATGTGCATGAGCAGGGGATTAGGTGTTCATGACTGATAAGCACCTTGCTGACAAGGAAGGATCGTCCACGCAGTTCAGTAGACATGTTCCATTTTCCATAGGTGCATGGATTTAACAAAATGAGCATTGCAAGAAGAAAAATAATTGGGAGAATCATTAACGCACAGAATGGTTTGGGTTGGAAGGGACCTTAAAGCCCACCTAGTTCCAACTCCCCTGCCATGGGCAGGGACACCTTCCACTAGACCAGGTTGCTCAAAGCCTCATCCAGCCTGGCCTTGAACACTTCCAGGGATGGGGCACCCACAGCTTCTCTGGGCAACCTGTTCCCGTGCCTCACCACCCTCTCCGTGAAGAACTTCTTCCTGATATCCAATCTAAACCTCCCCGCCTTCAGTTTAAACCCATTCCCCCTTGTCCTGTCACTACAGGCCCTTGTAAAAAGTCCCCCCCAGCTTCCTTGTAGCCCCTTCAGGTACTGGAAGGTGCTATCAGGTCTCCCGGGAGCCTTCTCTTCTCCAGGCTGAACAAGTCCAACTCTCTCAGCCTGTCCCCATAGGACATTTCTTAAAAAAAGTAACGTTGACCAACGGGATGAGTTCAGAAACACCCATGCAGAGTTTTAGAATGCATCATGTATCAGTGCTACATGAAGATGTATTGATTCATTCAACAGGCATTTGGCTGTAATTTTGGGAATGAGGTTTTTTTTAACTGCACTCCAAGGTGGAACTGCGCTCTACAGTAACCTCGCTCAGCTTCATCCCTGCAATAAACAGCAAACACAGCTACAGACATTCTCTTCTACGATAGTCTTACCTATTGGGTGTTGCTTCCGCACCAGGTGAAGTGGGCGTGCACCGGCTGGGTTCCTTTTTTCAGCTCCGACTTCTCCTGAACCGGACAGGTTTCAGGGCAGGCATGAGCGCGGCGGCAGGAGCAGTTACAAGTGTTTGGAGAACAGTGATAAACACCATTTTCCCTCTCCCCCCCTCCCCAAATCGTGAAAGCAGTTTCATTTCTAACGTATTGCAGGCAGTACGTTCAGTTTAAGGTGCTGCTGTAAAAGAGTGGCAAGGGACCAGCTGTTCATGCCCAAAGTTTTGCATCTTGAGCAAGGCAACCCTAGGAAGAGTCATCTTGGAAGAGCCATGACCCCTCCGAGTTACTCATTTCTTCACTTGAACAAGCTCCTTCTGTCAAAAATGACCCTTCTCATTCTCTGCAGACCACTGCAACAGAAACCTGCAGGACCTCTCCACCAGAACCCTTACCAATTAAAAAAAAAACCGCCCCAAAATAAAACCCCAACTCCTAACCCCAAGTTGCACCCTCTTGTTACTTCAACTCTGCCAAGTAAATAGGAAGAGGTTGTTTTTTTAGGAGTTGGGGGTTTTTTGTTACTTTGAGCCGAAGACATGCTCCACCAGCTCTAAAAAACAGAAGTCAAAGAATCACTTGAAAAATAGCTCAAGGCAAGAGCTAAGTATGTGAAACCTGTAGCCTATGTCCTCATTAGTCAGAGCAGCATCCCATCTAAAGGAAAGGGATAATTTTTGTCAGATTCTTATAAAAAAAAAAAAAGGCTTTATTTTGAACAAGTTTTCTCCATTTGGTTTTACAGTCTCAGCATACATCATATTCATGGACAAGCAGCATTTTCACAGAGTAAGAGCCAAATACAAAGAAGAGGAAGCCACTTGGGATTAACAGTTTCAACCAAATTGCCTCAGACTTCAGAAAATACTGTATGCTGTCACTTATTTGAGGTAAAGGGATTCCATAAATTAAGATCCACTGTTTAACAGACGAGCCAACAATGAAGTATTTGTGCGAAGTAGGTACCTTTGGGACAGAAGGGAGGAAACTTTAAGACACAGTAAGCAACAAATGAAAGGGAAGATAGGATTTCCACTGGTTCGTACTGGTACACCAATACAGTTTGGACTACCACACGTAAGCGTTTAACCAAATTTGTGCAGTTTAAATGTCCAATTTGAGGAATTTTCCTGCTAGTAGGTGAACCTAACCAAAGGTAATTCATGAGCTTAGTTTATAATGCTGAATGCTGTCACGAGGTGATCATTACACGATCAGGTCATGATTGGTGCACAAGTGTTTGCCTTCAACTATCCAGTAAAATCCATTGCTTTCAGTGCCCGTTAGGACATATTCCAGTTACATGGTTAATTTTTGGGTAGCTGTGGTCCAACCAGACCATAAAATGATGCATTTGCTGGAATTCAAGAATGCTTTCTTACAAAAACCTGTATTGGAAGGGGTGGTGAGAGAAATGAACCTTCTGTTATCTCACAAAGATACACCAGCAGTTGACCAGGGTTTATCTAAACCAGATTAAAGCCATTACAGGGACACATCCGTGCCAGTTTTAAAACTAACTTGTTTACAGAGCAAATCAACTTGTGTCTTTCATCTATGACAGGATATAGAATTATTAGTGAGGATTTTTCCTCACTAGTATTATTCGCTAATAATCCTAAATCTCACTGAAGAGGAAATGGAACTGGATTGATGTCCTGTACACGGCAAGAACTAAATTATCAATGTTGAATTCCTAATGCCTAGCAGGAACACCACAGATTTCAGGCCAGGCATCTCATGCCTGGCACTGTTCAATTTCTTCCAGTGAAAAAGAAAGCATAAATTATGTTTTTGCAACAAAACAGAAGCAGTGAAGCCATCTCCACATACGTACATTTCTTTAAAAAGGTTACTGGCAAAGTAAGTTCCACAATCTGGTTGGCCAAACCATCCACTGCAAATCAATTCAAATTGAATTGGTGCAAGAATTTAAAGAAGCAAAACAGTTTCATTTAGAAAAAGCTCATTTTTCAATATTATTTTGTGTGCCAACTCCGAGTTCCTGTGAGCAAACTGGTTTTATACTTATTTTGGAGGCAGAGAGAAGGTGGTTTGTTAGTCTATGTAATGCTTCCATATCCTATTTATTTTTTTTTAATTAATCAACAGATTGATCATTTAGCAACTTATCCACCTCAGAACTGAAAAAGCACTAGTAAATTCTCTCCCGTTGAAAAGCTATACTGTTATTACCCAGCTTCACGTACATCAAGTTGTATCTTGCAGAAATATGACCACTGACCAAAATTTCTTACTACGTTACACTGTGAACAAAAGCAGGCATGAATAAGGTCAAAGGGCAAGTCAGCCCTTGTACAAACTGCCCCTTAAGATGTTCCAGCAACATTTCAGTTACAGCTTTAACTCCTTGAGAAACACAACCTACAATACCTAACTACTGTGCTATTCAATTAAAACTCAGCCAGAAAGAGAAAGATGTCTTGTTTGTGAAGAAACTGCCACCTACCCGCTCGCTTTTATCATGCCTCAGACTATCAGAAAGCCAGTAAGGGGGGGGGGGGGGGGGGGGGGGAATTGTTTTCCACTAGCATCCTGTTGGTTTCTTCTGACCCTGAGTGCTAACGAAATATTTTTCCTTAAATGACAGCTAAGAGAACACAGAGTGAACAACAAAAGAAAAAAAATCAGTCTGTTAAGAAATTTGGCCTTAGTCTTTAGGACTTTGCATTTCTTTCAACAGACCTTCTGTATCATGTTGCATGGAGCAAAAAGGGTGGTTTTTTTTTTTAAAAAAAAGAAGCGCTCACTGGTCTATTATGAATCACTGCAATAAAAGCATTACTTTTTCACACTGCACTAGGCAACTTTCCTTCCAGTCAAAGACAAGAAATTTAGTCAAGAATCATAAAAAAAATTGAACTGTTAACTCTGGCACAGCCAGGAGTAGCAACTCGACTACTCCAGAGTGCTTAGAAAATAGGCTTTAGATTTCACACCAAGAAATTGGATTTATTGTAAATGCCACAGTCACATTGATAGACAGAGCACAGACTTCGGGTAACAAACAAACATACATTTTTGTAACTAAGCGTTTCTACTTGGTAAATAAATGCATTTCGCACAGCCTTCCTTTTAATTGTGCCTAAACTAACCTAAATAAGCAGACAGCATAGCAGAAAAGGGAAACCTAGGTGAGTAACTGTTTCTTAAGCAGTATATTATTTTTACTATGTATATAATATTTTATATTATATACACACATTTTCATCAACAGTTCAAATTATACCCAAATAAAAAAAAGACCCAAACAAAAACAAACCCAAAACTGGCGCTCCTCCAGTACATTTACCACCTTTCCCTCAGGCATAGTTAATCCAGGTATTTGTCAAGATAGAGGAATGACAGTTAAAAAGACTCCCCCCACAAGAAACAAGTTACACAAAGAATACTGTATCACTACAAATTTTTTATTCAGAAGCCCATCTTTAAAAAAAATCTCATTATGAACTTGTTTGGTCAAACTACAACACTTTCTAGCAGACATACAGTAAAAATGGCATGGCTCAGAATCGACCAGATCTTTCACGATCCCTTGACCGCCTCCTGTCACGTTCACGTCCTCCTCCTCCGCCACCACCACCTCCACGACCACGATCTCTGGATCTAGACCGACGTTCACGGGACCTCGACCTGGATCTATGCCTTCAAAGAAAATTTGAACACTTTATTGTTTTGTCGCGTTCAGCAATTTACTTGCAGTACCACACAGCGGGATGCTCCACGATGTGAGCCCCGAGGGAGAAGACAGACCAGGTGGCATTAGGATTGGGAAACTGGCACTCGGGCTGCGAAACCACATACCAACAAACCGAACAAACAATACCGGGGAGCCAACACGTACTGTTAAAAGACCCAAATGCCAGTCATCCGTTAGAAGGGGCGTGCAAAACTTAAGGAAAGGCACGCAGAGGAACCAAACACACTGTTACACAGCTGTTCAAGAAGCAAGAGAAGGCGACACCTGCTCTTACAGCTATGAATAGCTCTTAACAACACACAGCGCAAGCCTACAGCTGCCTGAGTCCACTCCTACTAAATCAACTGCATTAACTTAACAGTTTAAACTCAGTTATCTTCTTTTGTGCGGGGTTGGGTTTTTTGTGTGTGTGTGGTATAATAAAATGTATTTATTACAATATTTTTTTTACCAGTAAGCAGAATTACTACTCCTTTGCCCCACTGAAATTCTTACCAAGAAGAGTCGCACTGTGAGGCTATTGTCAGTGAAAAGGGAGCTCAGTACAGTGACTGCCCGTTACTAAACACTAAGGAATTAATACAGGCTAGACAAGTCAGCCATTAACTGTGAAAAGCAAGTAAGGCTGGGTCCTGAATATAATTTATAGATGCGCTTGATGGTGCGGGAGCAGGCCAACCTGATCCTGCCAAAATGCGTGTTAGCCAGGGAGCCTGCTTCCAACAGGCCACGGGCAAATACATTTGGAAGAGAATAAAACAGAGGCATAAAGCAATACTTCTCCCAAATAAGAGAACTGTGTCTGCCTGTAACAGCTCACAGTTTGGAAATCAGAACCACAGGTAGGTTCTATGCACTTAAGTGACTCAGTGAATATTCTTCTCCTTGAATCTTCTCGTAAAGCCGCACCAACCTTCAGCACCCACAGCACTGCAGAGCGAGAACCTTTTTTTTTTTTTTTTTTTAAACAAAGACCTATTCCTTTGCTCTAAACCAGCCACTTGCTGGCTTTACTTGCTGCCCTTTCATTGGTGTGTGCCAGAGCTGCCTCAGGAAAAAAACCAAGAAAGCACTGAAGTCTAAAGATTCGCCTTCAGAATACTCAGCAACCAATTTACCCGTTTCAATCATGTTTAAAAGCCAACTTACTTTTTACGACGTCGCCCATACAACTCGCGTCTTAACTCTCGGGAAATGGGCTTCAAATGCATAAAGTTGCAGAAACCTCCTCGTGTACACTCTCTGAAACAGAATGCAAGAGACAATTAAAATTCTGCTGCATCTGTCTGCCCCAAGCCGTAGTGGGCCTTTAGCCATCTAAAACTTAGATCACTTCCAACATGAAAAGCAGTAAATTGCAAGCATCGCTTCCTGACACCGACTCACCCCGGATCAAAGTCCTATGAAGACGGCAACAGTCAAGAGGCTGACTGCAGGCTCTCCGTATTAACGTTACCTGAAGCGGTTTCCTTTCTACACTAAGCTAGAGACAAAAGCCACACCAAGCAGCCGCCCTGTCTGTGCAAGCATTTCAAAGATACTGTCAGAGGCAAACAGGAAGTCGCTCTTACCCCATTTCATACTGACGGCAACAGGCCTCTCTGAAGTCAGTCACAGGTGAAAGCTCAGCATGAATGGGCTGACCATTAAACCAGCGATTGTTCAGGTCAATCACAGCCTTTTCCGCATCTTCTTCACGGCGAAACTACAAGCAAAATTAACGTTTTCTCATGTTACAGAGAAGCCACTGAAGCAGACTGAAGATTCCTATCAAATCAGTTGCGCAATACCTGAGGCTTAGGACTAGTGATCAAACTAGAAGCTCCTTCAGAGTTCCTGGGACAGTCCATCAAATCAAAGGTGAAGATGCTAGCTTTTCGTTAAGCGGGACTCAGAACTAAGCACAACACTGGCATTCTCTCTTAATTACGTTCTGTTTGGTCTTTCAACTTTTGTGGCTTGTATTAAAAGATATGAGAGAAGACATCGTGTTTTCTTAGTATAACTCCAAACAAAGAATGCTTATTTGCACATTTTTAAAACTAATTTTTATTTCTGGTTACAACCTACACAGTCAAGAATTTTAGGTGTGAAAACACTTTCCAGTTAAGGGAACATACAGTAAAATTATTCAAACACTCTCACCCCTCCCCAACACTGTACATACAATAAAGTTTCTGCAGGTGACAGCTTTTGTACTCGTTATTCAAGATACCAATGATTTTTAAGAGCTAAAAAAAGTGCTCCAGTTTGCTCCTTAAACCACCCAGCTACCACCAAATGTAAAGTAAAACATCTTGTAAGCACATAACTGGGAAGTTACAATACAAATGCACCTGTTGAAAATAAACACACCTGTTGCAAATAAACCTCTGCACACAATGAAGTGCTTAAAAGGCAGCTTGATGGGAAGATGAACCCCAGACTACCCCTGGCAAACTAAACAGTCCAGCAGCAGTGACTATGTAACAAAGCAAAAAGAAGTGTTAAACTTCATGAAAACGACACAGAATTTGACAATCTAGAAAGCTGCTCATCATCTCTTAAAGATTCTGTCAGATTCCATTCATATGTTCCACTCTTTCTACTTTGCACTGTGAATTTGGCAAGGAGCTTATATCCTGAAGAGCTACGCTCGCAAAATCTACAAGCGGAGAGTAGCTTTTAAAATTATAAATCAATAAATACCACCCATACGATTAAACAGACATCATCTCTGTGTCCTACCTTTACATATACATTTCCAACTAGATGATCTCCAAGGTTATCACAAACGTTCATCTCTTCAACTTCACCGTATTTTTCTTCCATTTCTGTGAAGACCTCCTAAACACAAAGCAGCCAATTAAAGTTTGCAGCACCTTGGTTTCAAGTACAGAAGTATTGCATTTAGCTGTCAGTAAGTACAAAAGAAGGCCTTCCTTAAAAAAATAAGGCAAAACATCCCCTCACCCCTTTTTTCACATTTCTGATTTTAAAATCAGTACTTGCTTGGCCTGTACTGTGTCCGCCTGTAAGTACAGCACTAACAGGAGACAATAAAAAGCCATAGAAAACATTATGCATACAGTATTTACAGAATACATGAGATGCACTGAAAACACTACATATAAGTAAAACTATGGCATCAAGGCTTAAGTTACTTCTACACAAATAATTATGTTTTAAATTTACAGGAAAGAAGGGAATTATGGAACCAAACGCTACATTGCTTAAGTTGCTGATTTTTAAGCAAATTCTATTATAAACGGTAAAGTTAAGGCCAAAGTAACCCAGGATTATACAAGGAAATACTTAGCACTTCAAACTAAGTTTTATCCAAACACCTGAGGAAACAAGCGTTTTTCTCCATATCCATCTAGTAGTGCTATGCACCGAATCCCTCTAACTCATTGTGTCGACAAATCCACAAACGCTTTTATACATTTTTACCTCTTTCACATACCTCAAAGAATTCATCATAATGTTCCTGCATCTCAACATCGCTCACAGCACCTGTAAAAATCAAGAGTCATATCGATTAGAGCCTGTAAGTAAGGAAGCAGAGATTTTGATCATACTACAAAACAATCTAGAGAGGCCGTCTGGAGCATAAGAAGACACCATATAGCATGGAGCTAACTAACAGGAATATTAAAAATAAGTAGGCGTGAAGAGCTTTGAGGCCCTAAAGTATGTCAAAACATTACATTGACATGATCAAATCAAAACAAGTTTTAATCAGAGCCAAACTTGTATGCCACGAATTTAAAGGAAGGGGAAAGGAATTACTCTGAAATATCACTTAAATTTGATGTACAGCCCCACCCTCCCTCCACCTACCAACAACTTTACCTAAACAGAAGGCAAGTGCTTCGTTACGTCTGCATCTTTTAAAGCCCGATCAGAACTCTGTGTTCCTCTTCCTAAAGGCAGAATTTCATTTTAACGTGTCTACCTCTCCAGCTTATACACTAGATTTTGAGAGGTCACGATGTGACACAGCCCAGATTTTTTTTGGTTTTTAATTCGCTCAAAATAGTTATTGAAATGACACACTTTTGCCAGTGCCCTCAAAGAAGGGTACCATGATGCCTTGCAACAGAGAGCAATTTGCTGGTTTAATTTTGAGTATCACTTAATTTTTCTGTAGTCCTGCAGAGCACCTTCTAGTGCAAGACAAGCCAGCCATATATTCAGGTTAGATTATTTTCATGCTCCAAGCTGGACTTGACAAATGAGCGCTGCTTGCCTGCTGCTATAAAAAAACATGTAAGTTTGGCTGATTTTTCAAAGCATTTAGAATATAAAAATTAATTTCATTTATTTCTTGCAGTCTACAGCATTTTAAAACTACCTTAAGCTGTATACATTAAAGCCTAACGTATTAGCTCTTCAGCAGTTAAGCAGTTTATTAAGATCAAGCGGAGTAGTTTTAAAATGAACCCTGCATTTTACCATAGAATATTCTAGCCTTTAATTACAAAGGCTGCTGCTCTAATTCACAGGAGGTGAGAGACAAACTGAGCCAACAAAGCGGAGTTTATTCACTTCAGGCTGCTATGAAAACAAGAGACGCTTTGGGCTCAGTCATTTTTGGCCAGTATTACCCTTTGGACAAACTTTACATTTTCCTTCAAAAGCTCTAATATGAACCAGCCACACTCTCTGAAACTGTAATTACTCTTCTTCCATTCAGCCCACCTCTTGAAGAAGGCTATGAGGCACTGGTACAGTGTTTAGGCTAACAATGGTTCTGAATCCGAAGCAAGTTTGCTTTGAAGAACTTTCATCTTCCCCACCACTACACAGCAAATTAAGGAAACATTAAACCAGTATTTCCAGACAGTTTAATACTTAACTATATTCCCAAGGTTCTGCCAACACCACTGATAACTGCTCACTAATACCTAAGGACTTTTACTGGGCTTTTTTAAAGATATCAGACAGGGGCTCTGCAAGCCGCACTGGGAATAGCTACTTTTTACCAGATAGACAAGTGCTAAAAACTTCTTATAAGGAGATCCCACTCTCAAATTAGGAGATCGTAAGCAACAGTTGGTTAATGACTATGTGAATTCCTTCTCAAGCGGGAAGCGTATATTATGCACAGGCATTACATTCATATTCCAGGGCTACTGGTATCTGAACCTTGAGAAGCCCAGTTACTAATTCAAATACTCAGGAAAACTACTGCTGTTCAAAACTAAGGTTAATCCTCTACGACAGCAATAGAAAGGAAGACAGTTAAGCAACAACAACAAAAGCATTAAATAGCTACCCAAGTTATCCATTTAAAATACATGCAGTACTTAAGTAGGGACAAATACCAAAAAAACAGGGAGCCAGGAGTTTCAGCAAACCTACTGGTGCCAGAGCCCCAGCTCTACCGCAGAAGGTACAGTTTGGCTCTGCTGAACAGCTACCCGCTCGCCAAGACAAACTATAGAGGTGGATACCGGTGTTTACAACGCTACAGAATCTGTTCCGAGACTCCTGCAGCTGTACAATCTAAACCGCTCCACAGACAAAACTGCTGTAACTCTGTGCAAATTAGTTACCAGCGCATTGAGAATTTAGGGACAGAGTGGAAATACCCAACTGTAAATTTTTTTTGGTTGACGGAAACGGCATTAACTACTAAGCATCTGCAAGAAGAAAGCCTACAATCCAATGGAACCGTCTAAGCATCCGGACAAACTTACACAGCTCATCACGTATCTAGCTGGATGGCATGACGTAAAAACTCACGTTACTTAATTGGGCCGTTATCACTTTTAGAAGCGGAAGAGACGGTGCTGACTTTTTAAGTCTGTGGCTGATTTCACAAAGCACGTCTAATCAAATTGCTGGTAACTAATCTGAACTAGTCTATGATCCAACAGTCAAGAAAAGAAATAGCCAAACAAAGCTTTATTACCACACAGTCAATAATCACTTCAACAAGAAATGTTAGAAAATAATACCGATACTTTTTGGTCCTAAATAGTTTTTTTTTTTTCCCTTTTATTTATTTTAATCTCGTTCTAATATGGATGATTCGATCACAACGATATATCAGTAATCGCCGACCAACAATCCTGGTCATTTAACTTCTGCCAGTCTCACAGTAGGCATGCGTTCTTATGCCCGTTCCTACTTCATGAGGAGCCATTCCATCAGTTCATGACCATACCCAAATGCCTTCCCTTCCTCAAAAGTACTTTTAAAGATAGATTTTCTTAGATAAATACGCAACTTGGTTTTGGAATCTGAATTTTCAAAGCACGGAAGGAATTTTAAGCATGCACCTATCCAAAAAGGACAGCTGCCAGAAGGGAAGCATTCGTCAGTCAAAGCTCGTTCTTCCAAAGTACACTCTAAACGCAAGCTGCATTAACCTAGGACCAGTTTTCTGCATGCAACCTGAAAAGTTTCCAATTCAAGTTCCCTTAACATTTTCAGAGCGAGAAATTTGTTCTGGATGAAGTCAGCATACCACTGTCCTGCTCTCTTAGACAGTGGAACCCAACGGATAGCAGAGAACATACAGAAAAGCATTCCTAGGATGCAGGCAACTGGCAGGGAAAAAGGCGGAGGGAAGACAGCAGTGTAATCGACACTGCTTACCAGGGGAAGTACGCTTTCAACCCTTTTTGATTTAATGGATGGCAGTCAGATTCCCCTCACAGTTTTGGGAGTTGGGGGCCAGAGGAGGTGAGAAGGACAAAAAAAGTTTTGGGGATATATTTTTTTTTTGGTGTGCTTGTTTTGGATGCGTTTAATAAAACGTGGTCAGTTTGATCTGTTAAACTAAAATGGTAGACCAGCTTAAGTCGACACTGAGCTCTGACAATCAAGCCCAGGGAACCAGTGAAGGAACTTGTATGAACTTACAGCGCAAACCGTCAGCAGACTGGGAAGAGTTTTGAGGGTTACGGTAAATGTTCAAGAGGGCAATGGTCTGAAATACAAAACGCAACAACTTTATATTATGGAAAATAATTTTAACAAGAAACCGGTTTCCTTTAGGGTCGCTTTAGCCGAGTCTGTGCTGAAAGAGAGGTGGTTATTCTCTCCCAAGAAGGAGAACTTTCACTTAGCTGGTGACCTTACTGAATCAACCTAACACTGTAACGTAATAGAGATCTCACGATACTCCATTATTGTATTTTTTCGGCATTACTATAGCAGGGGTTTGCATGATGTCAGGCAGACCTGTAACAGATGGCACAGTATCCAAATTAGAAGCATAGTAATTTGTTTAAATTTGGTTTTACTGAATGGTTTCTCAGTAGCAAAACCCCTGGAAAGGAAGTAATACAATAATTACAGCATAACATGAAATCTCCATTTTCCTAAAAAAGTTAAGATGAAAGAAAACCCACAGTTTTGGGAAACTTACCGTACATCACATATAGACCTATTCTTTTTGGGGGGGTGGGGGCGGGGGGGGGGTGTTGTCAAATCAAGAATTTGAAAAATGTTTGCAGGTTAACCCTTTAAAAAGAATGCAGCGTTACTAAGCCACCGAGTTTCACTTTGCAGCGCGAAAGAGAACCTGCATCAAGTCCAATTTGTGCAGTCAGTTCTGCATTCTAAACTGCACACATTTGACAAGTTCTTGACCTATGCGCAAGAAGAGTTCCGTCACTTGTCCTGTTTGCAACAGCTTTATGTCAGCAGCTCAGAAGCCAACATTATTTTCTCATAATTAGGAGTGGGCTCTTTAACACCATTCTTTAAAAAAATTTCTCCAACTGTGGGACTTACAGTGTGAGCCGTCAGCCGTCTGTGCACTGTTTTGGGGGTTACGATAGATGTTTTGAATCAAGATGGTCTGCGGGGAAAAAAAATAAAAAGGGGAATTCTACTGGCTGCTGTGCATATAATAGACAATTGCAAAGAGACAACTTGTTTGCAAACAGCTAAAAGTAAATGTTCTATCCTTAAGACTTCCTTTCGTATTTGCAGAATATCTTCCAAAATTGCATCCAGACCATCATATTATGAAAACAGTTTTAATTAACCACCAAGAAAGAGCTGCATTTGTCACACAGCTATCCTCAAAATGGGAGTTGTGAGGCATAGTAACCTAAAACGTCAAAACTATGTGGTACTGGGGAGACGCCTAGCTTTCGAGACCAGATTCGTCAT